TTAAATTAACTTTTTAAAATTTTTTCTAAATAATTTTTTGAAAGACAATAGTTTTACAATTACATACAATTAAAAAATGTCCAAAAAATTGAAATTTGGTAAAGTCTTTTAAAAAATAATTTAAATTTAGTAAAATCTTTGAAAAATAATTAAAATTTGATAAAATTTTTGAAAAATAATTGAGTTTTTAAAAACAAATATTTTAAAAAATTATCAAATTTTTTAAAAATTTTCCAAAAGCACAAAAATAATGAAACTAAATCCCATAAAAGAGGGGAAAAAATGTTGAATTTTAAGAAAATCGGATTTTTGAATTTTTGATAATTTTCGATAATTTCACATTTTTTACCAAAGAGTCGAGACAATTTAATAAGTAAAGTATTTTCCAAAAGCACAAAAATAATGAAGCTAATTCCCATAAAAAAGAAGAAAAAATGTTGAATTTTAAGAAAAACGGATTTTTGAATTTTTTCGAATTTTTGATAATTTTAGATTTCTTACCAAAGAGTCGAGACAATTTAATAAGTAAAGTATTTTCCAAAAGCACAAAAATAATGAAACTAAATCCCATAAAAGAGGGGAAAAAATGTTGAATTTTAAGAAATTCGGATTTTTGAATTTTTGATAATTTTCGATAATTTCACATTTTTTACCAAAGAGTCGAGACAATTTAATAAGTAAAGTATTTTCCAAAGGCACAAAAATAATGAAGCTAAATGCCATAAAAAAGAAGAAAAAATGTTGAATTTTAAGAAAATCGGATTTTTGAATTTTTGATAATTTTCGATAATTTTAGATTTGTTACCAAAGAGTCGAGACAATTTAATAAGTAAAGTATTTTCCAAAAGCACAAAAATAATGAAGCTAAATCCCGTAAAAGAGAAGAAAAAATGTTGAATTTTAAGAAAATCGGATTTTTGAATTTTTGATAATTTTCGATAATTTTAGATTTGTTACCAAAGAGTCGAGACAATTTAATAAGTAAAGTATTTTCCAAAAGCACAAAAATAATGAAGCTAAATCCCGTAAAAGAGAAGAAAAAATGTTGAATTTTAAGAAAATCGGATTTTTGAATTTTTGATAATTTTCGATAATTTCACATTTTTTACCAAAGAGTCGAGACAATTTAATAAGTAAAGTATTTTCCAAAAGCACAAAAATAATGAAGCTAATTCCCATAAAAAAGAAGAAAAAATGTTGAATTTTAAGAAAAACGGATTTTTGAATTTTTTCGAATTTTTGATAATTTTAGATTTCTTACCAAAGAGTCGAGACTATTAAATAAGTAAATTATTTTTCAAAAGCACAAAAATAATGAAGCTAATTCCCATAAACGAGAGGAAAAAATGTTGAATTTTAAGAAATTCGGATTTTTTAATTTTTGATAATTTTCGATAATTTCACATTTTTTACCAAAGAGTCGAGACAATTTAATAAGTAAAGTATTTTCCAAAAGCACAAAAATAATGAAGCTAAATGCCATAAAAAAGAAGAAAAAATGTTGAATTTTAAGAAAAACGGATTTTTGAATTTTTTCGAATTTTTGATAATTTTAGATTTTTTACCAAAGAGTCGAGACAATTTAATAAGTAAAGTATTTTCCAAAAGCACAAAAATAATGAAACTAAATCCCATAAAAGAGGGGAAAAAATGTTGAATTTTAAGAAAATCGGATTTTTGAATTTTTTCGAATTTTTGATAATTTTAGATTTTTTACCAAAGAGTCGAGACTATTAAATAAGTAAAGTATTTTTCAAAAGCACAAAAATAATGAAGCTAAATTCTATAAAAGAGAGGAAAAAATGTTGAATTTTAAGAAATTCGGATTTTTGAATTTTTGATAATTTTCGATAATTTTAGATTTTTTACCAAAGAGTCGAGACAATTTAATAAGTAAAGTATTTTCCAAAAGCACAAAAATAATGAAACTAAATCCCATAAAAGAGGGGAAAAAATGTTGAATTTTAAGAAAATCGGATTTTTGAATTTTTTCGAATTTTTGATAATTTTAGATTTTTTACCAAAGAGTCGAGACTATGAAATAAGTAAAGTATTTTTCAAAAGCACAAAAATAATGAAGCTAAATTCTATAAAAGAGAGGAAAAAATGTTGAATTTTAAGAAATTCGGATTTTTGAATTTTTGATAATTTTCGATAATTTTAGATTTTTTACCAAAGAGTCGAGACTATTAAATAAGTAAAGTATTTTTCAAAAGCACAAAAATAATGAAGCTAAATTCTATAAAAGAGAGGAAAAAATGTTGAATTTTAAGAAATTCGGATTTTTGAATTTTTGATAATTTTCGATAATTTTAGATTTTTTACCAAAGAGTCGAGACAATTTAATAAGTAAAGTATTTTCCAAAAGCACAAAAATAATGAAACTAAATCCCATAAAAGAGGGGAAAAAATGTTGAATTTTAAGAAAATCGGATTTTTGAATTTTTTCGAATTTTTGATAATTTTAGATTTTTTACCAAAGAGTCGAGACTATTAAATAAGTAAAGTATTTTTCAAAAGCACAAAAATAATGAAGCTAAATTCTATAAAAGAGAGGAAAAAATGTTGAATTTTAAGAAATTCGGATTTTTGAATTTTTGATAATTTTCGATAATTTTAGATTTTTTACCAAAGAGTCGAGACAATTTAATAAGTAAAGTATTTTCCAAAAGCACAAAAATAATGAAACTAAATCCCATAAAAGAGGGGAAAAAATGTTGAATTTTAAGAAAATCGGATTTTTGAATTTTTTCGAATTTTTGATAATTTTGGATTTTTTACCAAAGAGTCGAGACTATTAAATATGTATATTCCTTTTTCCTATCAAAACGTATAAAAAACAAAAGAATAACTATAACTAACTTCAAGTGTGGACAGAGATCCGGAAATCTGGAATCACGACGATTATTATATATAATAATAATAATTTAAAAAAAAATAATTTTTTTAAGAATTTTAATTAAAAATTTTGAGTACCTATGATTGAAATATTGAAAATATTGAAAATAATTGAATTTTAAAAAATTAGAACGAAATAATTCAGAGAATTACTTTTTTCAAAACTTATTTTAATATTATTTTTAGAACCGAATTTTCATTCATTTTAATTTTTATTCAATTTACACTTGAAGATTATTTAGTAAAATTTTTGAGAATTCAATTATTTCCAAAATTTTCAATTAAAATTCTATAAAAGTTAATTTTCAAAAATTGTAATAAAATACTTGAAAAAATGATTTATTTACAATTAAATTTTACAAAATTTCAATTATTCAAAATCTTTTTAATTGTATATTGAATTCTTGTAAAGTATTTATAAAACATTTTAAAATAATTGAATTTCATAAAGAATTCCATTATTTTCAATAATTGTAATAAAATTATTTAGTCAATTTATAAATAATAAAAATCTTCGTAAAAAATTCAATTATTTTTATATAAATAATAAAATTCTTATCAGGATTTCACTTATTTTCAATACAATTTTAATTCCTCTCTTCAAAAATTTCAATTATTTTTTAAAATCTTGTAAAAATTCAATAATTTTATTGAATAAATAATTGAATTTTTAACAGGAGTTCAATTATTAAAAAAAATTTAATAAAATCCAATTCAAGAATTCAATTATTATTATTTTAAAAATAATCAAATTTTCGCTGGAATTCAATTATTTTAAATACAAGTTTAATTGAATTCCAGAGAAAATTAAATTATTTTTAAACATTGTTTTTAAATTCTTCTTAAAGAGTTCAATAATATCAATAAATAGTATATTTTTCAAAGGAATTCAATTATTTTAAATACAATTTTAATAAAATTCTTCTCAAAAATTTACTTATTTTTTAAAATTTTAATTATTTTTATAAACAATAAACTTTATCGCAGGGATTCAATTATTTAAAAAAGTTTTAATAAAATTCTATTCAAAAATTCAATTGTTTTCAGAAATAATTAAATTGTCGATTTACTAAAAATCATTGAATTCTTCAACATTTTTTTCAATAATTGAATTCATTCGAGAAAATGTAATTAAAATTGTTAATAATTTTTACTAAAAATATTGAAAATAATTGAATTTTAAGAAGAATTTCTTTGAAGTTTTTGAAGTAATCGTGTTTATTATTAATTGTAATTGACGATTTTCCTATTAAATTATGTTAAAATTATTTATAAAAAATTAAATCCTTTTAAACAAATTTATTTCAGTTATCTTATTATTTTGAATATAATTGAATTTTTTCCTATAGAAATTTTATTAAAATTGTATCTGAAAATAATTGAATTTCTCAAAGGGAGCATTCACAAATGATGTCACGCAGTTTTTGGAGATTTTCGACCCCCCCCCCCTCCCCCCTGTCACGCAATTTTTGCAATTTCACATAAGAAAAATACATTGTGTCACGTTTAGTAGAGACAAAAATATTTACAAAAATAATTGAATTCTTGCCAAGAATTTTACAATTTATAAAAATAATTGAATTGTTTTGCAGAATTTAATAAGAATTATTGAAAATAATTGAATTTTTTTCGAACTCTTGAAAATAATTGAATTTAAATAATATTTTTAACAATAATCGTATTCTTTCAAGAAATTTTATTAAAATTGTATTGAAAATAATTGAATTCCTCCGAAACCTTTTAGTATTTTGTCGCAAAATTTGTAAGAAAAGCCGAAAAAGTCGCAATTTTTTAATGTTAGTCGATAAAAGTCGCATTATTTGAAAATAGTCGAGAAAAGTCGAAAAAGTCATAATATCCGAGGCCCGCAATTTGATCGAATTAGAGGCAATTTGAAGTTTAAAAGAGGTGAGAATTTCTATATTGTTTACCTTTGCGAATTTTTTGTTGCAATATTTTTTCGTCTTTCCAAAATGCAAAACTACTTCCTTTTGATTCTCTATCTTTCCAGTTCCTCTCTACAAATTTATAAATTTCTTCTACTTTTCATCCCTTTTCTTCGTTAACAAACGATATTTATTTTCGATACGATTTTCTTCCAGGTGAAATATTTGGGAGCTGCTCCAGTTGGCGGGCGTGTGGCTAGCGTTCGTGGTCTTCAGGAACCGCTTCGACAACTACTGGAGCAAAATAAAGAATCGACGAACGCTGAATTAGAAGTATCCCGTCGGGGTTTAACTTTTCGCAGTGCGGAGCATTTCGAGAAAAATAATCCATTCCGAAGAATTGCTGTTTGGAGTGCGTTACGCCTTCGGGCGAGGAAGACAATAAACGGCGGTGTTCATCATGCTTTCATGCCGCTGGTCGGCGACGATTCAACATCAGCCGGAGATGAGAAGCACTCAGATCTCTATCGGACGATGCGTGGCTTGAATAGCCAGGTCGAAGGTTACCCGCCAATCTTTGCGGTTGTCATGAGGCGACCCGGCGTTGCTCGCCTCCTCGAGTGTCACGCTTTCGCTTGTCTCACCGAAGAGGATGCTATCGCAGCCGCAGCCACTCTTTACAGGGCCCTCGTTGCCGATCTTGACGCCACCAGGTAAATAAACTTAAAACAAATTAATAAAATTAATAATTATATCACGAAAATAGTTCCATTATTTTTAAACTAGAATTAAAATTTTATTAACTAATTAAAAAAATTTTTAACTGATGAATTATTGAAACTTTCTTTTAACTATTATTACAGGGTTGCCACGAAAATTTAATTTTGTTTTTCCCTGATTTTACCCTGATTTCCAAACTTTTTCCTGACTGATTTTTACTTTTTTCCTGGCCCTAAAGAATATTCTGATTCACTCGACAAAAATATTAGATACTCCAAAAAATGTTCTAATAAATTTGCGAATTTCTTTGATTGTAAAATTATTTGAAAAAATCAATAACTTTATTTTTAAATAAATATTTAATTATTATTTTTCCGTAGAAATTGGAAATTCTTCAAAAGATTCAAATTCAAACCTTTTTAAAATTCAAAAACTTATAAGAATATTATTAAAAAACATGAAGAAATTGATCACTCCGAGTCATCGACTCGAAGTGATCAATCTCTTCATGTTTTTTATATTTAAAAGATGTCTGAGTTATAAAATCATTATTTTATATTATGAGAATATTGTTACTTCTTCAAAATTATATTCATCATTTCAATTAAATTATAATTTTCTAGAATTTTTAACAAAAATTCTTTTTTAAATCAATTATTTTTAAAAATTTTTCAAAAAGTTCTTGAGAATTTTTAAATCCATTTGTTTACAATTCAATTTTACGAAATTTTGATTATTTAGAAATTCTTCAATTAAACATATATTAGAAAATAAAAACTTCAAATGATTTCAACAAAACATTTAATCTTTTTCAAAAAAATTAATTCTTCAGAATTATTAGTTAAAAGTGTGAAAAACAAGTTTTCAAAATTTTTAATTTGAAACTTTTTCAAAGTTCAATTATTTCTTAAAATTCACTCTATAATGCTTTTAATATTCAATTATTAACTAAAATTTCAACTGAAATTAATTTTTAAATTAATTTTGATTAAAAAATTCTAAGAGAATTCAATTGTTTAAATCCAAAAATAAATAATTTATTGAATAATTTAGTTATCTTAAAATTTAAAAGTCAAAAACAATTTTGTGAACAAATTTTTAAATAATTGAATTTTTGCGGAATTTTAATAAAATCTATTAAGAATAATTACATTTTTCGGAGAATTCGATTAAAAATAATTGAAATTCTGGGATAATTTTTAATATTTATGAAAATAATTGAATTCCTAAAAAGAATTTTATTATTTATGAAAATAAATGAATTATTACCAAGAAATAAAAAATTTATACGAAATTTGTAAGTAATTGAATTCCTTTGAAATTTTTATTATGTATGAAAGTAAGTAAAGGTTTGCGGAGAATTTTATAAAAGAAATTTATAAATAATTGAACTCTTCTAGAAAATTTTATTAAAATTGTAAATATTGAAAAGCATTGAACTGAAAAAAATGTTAGACAGTAATTTAAATTTTGCCAAGAATTTCATTAAAATTTTAGAAAATAATTACATTTTGGAGAAGAATTTTAATATTCATAAATATAATTGTAATTTTTACAAGACTTTTCAAAACTTTTTTATCATAATTGAACTTTTGCGAAGAATTTTATTACTTTTTTTTTTATTTTGTTACTTTTCAACAAAATTTTAACATAATTGAATTTTTGCGAAGAATTTTATTATTTCTGAAAAAAATTGAATTTCTTTAATTATTTTTAATTTCTTCAAAATTCAATTATTTTTAGTGTTTTTAACTAAAATTCTTCTATAAATCCATTATTATTTTTAATAATTTATGAAAATAATTGAGTTCTTAAACAGAATTTTAATATTTATGAAAATAATTGAAATTCTACAATAATTTATAATTTCTCTAAAATTCATTTTTTTAGTGTTTTTAATTAATAAAATTTTTCTATATAAATCCATTATTTTTAATAATTATTTAACTTTAAATATATATTAAAAAATTTAACCAAATTCAGAAGAATTTGAATTATTAAAATTGTTTCAAACATCTAAGTTCTTTAATATTTCTAATTTAATTAATTGGAAATTGAAATCTTCTAAAATTTTATATTAAAACCTTTTGAAATTCATTTTTTCATGAAAATAGTAAAGGCAATTCTTTTAAAATTAAATTATTTTTGAAATTTTCAAGTAAAATTATTCGTTAAATAATTTCTAAGAAATAATTTTATGATAGTTCTTCAAGAATGAAATTATTTAAAAAGAAATTATTGTCCCTGACTTTTCTCTGAATTCCCTGACCTGTGGCAACCCTGTCTTACTTAAATATAGTAAGTAAATGAAAAGTAAGTAAAACAAAGCAAAGTAAAGTAAAATATATTAAAGGAAAGTTAAGCAAAGCAAAATAAACTAAATAAAACTAAATAAAAAATTACAAAGTAAATAAAAAAAATTTTACCACAGGAGAAGGCCACGGCAAACAAATGGCGTTGGTTGTGTTTCTCTTGCCTCGGTTATTTCAAGCGCACGAGATCTGAGTCCCGCGAGTAGAATTAAAAACAGTCGTCGTTCGCCGCCACCACGACCTATGGCTCCACATCCGGTTAGGCCGCCAAGGGCGAAGAAGAGTTCCATCTCAAGTGCTACCGAGGATGAGACGAAGAAATCCCTCATTGTCGAAAAAGTCCCAAGACGAAAGAAACGACTCACTGAAATCAATCCAGACGATATTTTAGAAGCGCGCAATCGAAAGTATTCAGCGGCAATGAAAAATGAAAAGAGACGCGACATCACAAAAGTTGAGGAACGAATGAATAATAAAAATAAAATTTACAATATGAAATCTCACTCGGTTATAGAAATTCCCCGCGGTCAGTCTGATGATGATAATAATCGAAAATGTAACGAGTACGAGAGATTTAATCAAAAAAATAAAAATTCACCTCACGAGAATAATCAAAAGAAAATTAACGAAAATGAGGAAATCTATGAGAAGAATCAGGGATATGATCTTAATCGGGAGGAGAATTGTGACAGGGGTAAGAAATTTAATGCAGACTTCGCACTCGATAATTAATTATAAAAAAGTAGCAAAAAGTAGTTTTTAAAATAAAAAAAAGTAGTAGTACTTTTTTCTAATTTTCATCAAAAATATTTACTTCTTTCTTATCCTGCAACGAATTTTATCATTTATGAAAGAATTTAAATATTTATTTTGATAATTTAATTCTACAAAGAATTCTATTAAAATTTTTGACAATAATTAAACAATGTCTGTGTGGTATTTTACTATTTTTTTTTGAAAATAATTGAATTCCTAAAAACATTTAATTATTCATAAAAATAATTGAATTCTTGCGAACAATTTTATTAGAATTTTTAAAAATAATTGAATTTCCAAGAAGAAATTTATTACTTTGAAAAATAAATCAATTCTTGTGATGAATATTGTTATTTATGAAAATAATTGAATTTTGCAAAGAATTTTATTAAAATGCCTCAAAATCATTGAATTCTCGGGAATAATTTTCTTATTTATCGACATAATTTAATTCTTTTGAAGAATTATTTATGTAATTAATTGAATTCTTAGGAAGAATTTTATTAAAATCTAAAACAATAATTGAATTATTTCAAAAAATTTAATTAAAATTGTATTTAAAATAATTGATTTCTTTCGAAAAAAATTATTAAAATATTTGAAAATAATTGAATTCCTATGAAAAATTCTAATGTTTTCGTAAATAATTAAAGTCTTCCAAACAATTTTAAAATAATAATATGTCAATTGAATTGATCACTCGGCAGTATTTAATTTAATAAATTTAAAAAAAAACATTTTTTTAAATAATTGATTTTTTCGAGGAATTGAAATTAAATTTTCAAGATTAATAACATTTTTTGAGCAATTCCTGTAAAATTGCATTAAAAGTAATTGAAATCCTGCGATGAATTTTATTATTTGAAAGAATAATTGAATTTTTCGATTAATTAATTTAAAATAGTATTAAAAATAATTGAAATCATGCGATGAATTTTATTATTTATGAAAATAATTGAATAGTTGCTAAGAATTTTATTAAAATTTTCAAAAATAATTAAATCCCTGAGAAGAATTGTATTAGTTTTTAAAATAATTGAATTCTTGATAAGAATTTTATAAACATTGTTTTAAATAATTAATTTTTTCGAAATATAATAAATATTATGAAAATTTAATTTTAAAAAATTGAATTATTGTGGAAAACTTTATTTGTGAAAATAATTAAATTTTTCGATTCATTAATTTAAAATAGTATTAAAAATAATTGAAATTCTTGGATGATTTTTATTATTTATGAAAATAATTGAATTCTTGCTTAGAATTTTAAAAAATTGAATTTCCGTGTGAAATGTTATTATTAGTGAAAGTAATTGAGTTTTTATGAAGAATTGTATAAAAATTTTGTTAAATAATTGATTTTTTCGAAATTTTATTGCAAATGCTATTCTCTATTATTTGAATTTCTGTGGAAATTTAAATAAATTTTAATTTAATTTAAATTTAAAATTCTGTGAATTTTATCAATTTTTTTTAAATAATTGAATTCTTTTGCGAAATTTTATAAAAATACTAGGTATTGAAAATGATTGAATTTCGAATATTTCTTTTAAATAATTGATTTTTTTTAAAGAATTTGATTATAATTTTTGATTAATTAATTTTTTAATTCTAGTATTAGCGAATTTAAAGTAGTGGAAATTCTAAAAAAACAGAAATAGTAGCTTTTAGTGACTGAAATCTAAATAAAGTATCCAAATAGTAGCATAATGTAAAAAAAAGTAGTCAATAGTAGGTTTTAGTAGATGAGTGCGAAGCCTGTGAATATATAAAATTATAAAAAAGTAATGAAAAGAGAAAATAATAATAATTATTTCTTCAGGTAAATATAAAACTTCCCGCGAGGCAGAAGTGAATAAACCTTTGGAGAAAAAGGATTCGGAGTGTAGGAGTAGAGAGAACTCTATTTATGAAAAAATGTCGAGTAAAAGATGCAGTCGAGAGAAATTGAACGAGGAACACTTGAGGGACGCTGATAAGATCTACAGCTTGGGCCAGGAAGAGATCTACACACCCAGGAAACCAGTAAGAACTGATATGAATCAAAACGCATCTATTACTAGGAACACAAAGTGCATTCCACCACAGCAAGAACATCGGAATCAAAAGGGTTGCGCATCTGAGGAAGATATCTACTCTTGTCGACAGGCCAACAGAATTTCCACCATGGACAAGCCCATGAAGAAACAACTCCTTCAAGATCTTAACTCCAACATTCCTCAATGTTGTCAGGTAGAAAAAATTACGCCCTTAAAGAAAATATTATCCTCACATTATTATAATTATTAAAATATAAAATTTTTGTCTTTTTCAGCGAACCAGACGAAGAAGCAGAGCGGGAAGTGAGCCACCAACGAGTAGATCCGACGAAGCTCTAAAAAGTCTGCAGGAGACAAAATTAAAAAGATCGCAAAGCGATATTGACGTTGATAAGGGCGATTTAATGACTCGTGTTGAATTGCCAAGGAGGGGGAGTTTCTTGAAAACGGGAAGTACAAGGCGACCAAATACAATTACGGGAGGAACACCGTTAGGATTTACTGAATTATTCGACGAATTTCGAAATCAAGAGGGATTAACAAGTGTCGATGACATTCTTGCAACTATTATCGGTAAGGATTTAATATTGAGGTCATGAACGGATCTCTTTGGAAATGCAAATTATATCCCAATTCCAGGACTAACTGACAAATTAATTCTAATTCCCTCTAATGCAAATTTCATTTCTCCGAGTGAATCTCGATTTCGATTTTGCAGTTGATGTTCCAAATCTCAAATTCAAATTTACATTTCTATTTTAAATTTAATTATTTTTTTTATCTAAGCGCGATCTTTAAATATAAATTTAATGTCGGGTTGACACAAAAATTTTATTTTTCCCTAATTTGCTGAAAAAACTGTAAAACTATTCGAAAACATAAATAACTTCATTTTTAAATAAATATTTAATCATTACTTAATTCATAGGAATTAAGATTTTCAAAAATTTAAAATTTAAATCTTTTGAAATTCAATAACTTATAAGAATATTGTCACTGTAACTTTTACAAAATTATTTTCATCATTTCAATTCAATTATTATTTTCTAGAATTATAACAAGAATTCTTCTTTAAATCAATTATTTTTTATAATTTTCGAAAAAGTTCTATCTTTGAGAATTTTTAAATCCATTTGTTTATAATTCAATTTTACGAAATTTCGATTATTCGGAAATTCTTCAATTAAATATAATATTGGAAAATAAAAAATTAAAATAATTAAAAAAAAAAAATAAATTAAACTTTTTCAAAAAAATTAGTTCTATAGAATTTTTGGTTAAAAAATGAAAAAGATTTTAATTTGAAACTTTTTCAAAATTAAATTATTTTTAAAAATCCACGCTATAGGTACCTAATGCTTTTAATATTCAATTATTATTATCTGAAGTGTTAACTAAAATTCTTCTTCACAAAAAGTTCTTCTTCAAGAAAAAGTACTCAGAGAATTTTCAAGTCTACTTTTTTACAATTCAATTTTACGAAATATCGATTATTCGAAATAATTCTTCAATTAAATATATATTTGAAAATAAAAAATCCAAATAATTTAAAAAAAAAATGTAATTAAAATTTTTCAAAAAAATTAATTTTACAGAATTTTTGGTTAAAAGAAAAAAAAATCCAATTTTCAAAGATTTTAAATTTGAAACTTTTTCAAAATTCAATTATTTTAAAAAATTCACGCTATAATGCTCTTAATATTCAATTATTATCTAAAATTTTAACTGAAATTCTCCTTTAAATAAATTATTTTTAATAATTTTTGAAAAAGTTCTTTGAGAATTTTCAAATCCATTTTTTTACAATTCGATTACAATTCAATTTACAATTTCGATTATTCGGAAATTTTTCAATTAAATATATATTTAAAAATAAAAAATTCAAATAATTTTTAAAAAATTTTTAAATATTCAATTAATCTAAAATTTTAACAGAAATTAATTTTTAAATCAATTTTTATTAGAAAATTCTACTAGAGTTCAATTATTTAAATACAAAAAAAAACAATTTATTGAATAATTGCCTGTTTCTTATAAAATTTAATGCTCATAAAGAATTTTGTCAATGAATTTTTAAATGATTGAATTCTTTTGACGAATATTAATAAAATTTGAAAGAAAAATTACATTTTTCGAGGAATTAGATTAAAATTGCATTGAAAATAATCAGGGTGGCCTCAAGATTGACTTTATCAATTTCCCTGACATTTTACTGACATAACAACGAATTTCCCTGACAAAAATTTTTTTGTTTAGAGCAAAAAATGTATTACATGACCGTCTTAATTTCTTTAATTGCCCTGACAAAAAAATTTTTCCTGACATTTCCCTTCTTCTTTAATTGCCCTGACAAAAAAATTTTTCCTGACATTTCCCTGACTTTACTGACAAAAAATTTTTTTCCTGACATTTCCCCGACTTTACTGACAAAATATTTTTTTCCCTGACATTTCCCTGACTTTACTGACATATGGCCACCCTGATAATTGAAATTCTACAATGAGTTTTATTATTTATGATAAATAATTAAGTTTTTAAAAATAATTTTATTACTTATGAAAATAATTGAATCCCCACAAAAAATTTTAATATCTATGAAAATAACGGAATTGTTGCGAAGAAATTTATAAAAAATTTATAAATAATTGAATTCCTGTGAAATTTTTATTATTTAAGAAAATAATTTAATGTGTGCGTAGAATTTTATCAAAAAATTTTTTTAATAATTGAATTCTTTTAGAATATTTCATTAAAATTCTAGGTATTGATAAGCATTAAATTGAGGAAAATTTTGGAAATAATTAAATCGTGAATTACGAAAAGGGCTCAACTCGGTTTTTTGAAAATTTACGGGAGGCACAAAAAACTGTTTATTTCAAACAGCTTTGATTAAAGGTGAATTAGATGCTATTTCATATGAGAAAATGGAAAAAGAATTGTCTTTTTAATAACAGTGAGTTCAAGAAAATTGATATTATAGTTGTCAGAGTTGAGCCCTTTTCGAAATTCATAAAATTCACTCTAATACATTTCTCTTTGCTAAAAGTATTTCAGATGAAATTTTCCTTTTAAGAAAACGTCAATGGATATATGTAATGCAAAAAAGTGAAATTTGAAAAAAATCCGAGTTGAGCCTTTTTTGAAATTCACGATTGAATTGAAATGTATAATTAAAATGTAATTTAAAAGAAAATTTTGAAATTATATCTCTAAAAATTACCTTTTTGTTGATAAAAACAATCCTCTTGCATGTTGATATTTTTGCTAAAATCCGGTTTCTTTCTTTCCCCAATTATAACTTTCATTTGGTTCCCAATTTCGAATACCGCTATTTCTGATTGTCTTCCAATGACACTTGTGTATATTTTCCTGGTTCCTTGAAAACCGGTTCATTGACGTGTTATTAAATTCACAAGTGCCTCAAAAATCTAAAATAAATCACTTTGTTTATTCACAAATACTTTAATGAATCCAAATATTTAGAATCCCGTTTTTAATTGACATCAAAAGAATTTATTAGTTTCTTCTGTAAATTTCTTTCTTTTTTTTGACAAACTTTTGGCAAACTCTATATCATTTTAATAGTTGTCATTTTATGAATTTTTCGATTCAAATACGAAAATTTTTGTCCAAATAAAAAAAATAAATTAAAAATCTTTTTCCACGAAGAAGAAAAATGTTTTACTTCAAATAAAAAATGATAAATTATAATTTTGTTTGTTCTAATAAAAACATAATAAAACCTTTGGTTCAAATAAAACAGTTATAAAATAATAACAGCAATGAGAAAAAATTGAAGAACAGTTTGTACCTTTTGCTGATTTTTGAAAATGTATTTTTTCCCGCAGATCCGGAGGGAATGTCATTCAACGACTTGAAGCCATTGTACAAGGAGTTCCTTTTAAAATTGGCATCAACCTTGACTCAGGATGAGTTGTATCAAAGGTCAGCGAGTATAATGAGGAGACGACGTCGTCCCCAGAGGCGTCGGTCAACTAGTCGACCTTCTCTCCTGGGTCGGGCGATCAGAAGGTCAGTTTCACGACTCAAAGGCGGTCCAATGGAATTTACATCTGTTATTTTTCCGGCTCGAAAATTAAATGATAGCTTTGGGAGTAGTTCGTCTTGCGATGTCAGAAATAATCATAGAAATCGTGTTCTTGCCAGCAGGCTCGGCAAAAGAAGATCGTCCTGGCGGAAGAATAAAGGCGCAATTGGACAAACAACTTCCGAGGACAGCGATACCTGTACGTAACAATATTTTCCATTATATTTTCATTTCTCTCCAATTTGGAGAATTAATTAAATTAGCTTCAAATTGGTTTGTTATTTCAATTATCAATAAATTCAAATATTTATCGAATCTATGTTAAATTCTGATTCATTTCTTTTGCTTCCAACTACCAAAACTTTTCACTTCAATATGCTACTTAGTAATTTATTATTTAGGTTTATATTAAATTTAATCTTTGAAAGAGATGAAAAATAGATTGACATCAGTAATTATTCCAGGCAAGAGATGGAATCGCAATATTGGAGCAAACAGAAGTAGCAGCGGCTACGTGAGTTGCAGTGAATGTAGTTACGATTCAGAAACGTGTACCTGTATCTCGGCAGATAAATGCTATTGCTCTTTATCGCGAAAACCTCCAGCAGAGCAGGCAGTTGTTTGCTCCTGTGATACGGACAGTTGTTCGGAGAGTAATAAATGCTATTGTCCCAGTCGTCCCGATCAGCCAACAATTTTGGAGCAGCTCCGACAACGTGGAATAGTTCCCTCGGAGAGTACAATAAGCCGTGGCGGAAGTTCCGATCGTGCGAAAACTGCAAGGACCAACAGAAGTATCGCCTCCTCAAGGAGTCTCGAATTTCTCAAGGTAACTCTTCTCTCCCTAAAAATTAAAAAATTCCATTAGTAACAATAATTATATCTTATATTTTAAAAAGAATCTATATTAATAATCGTTGTATTCCGGTAATCTTTTCTTAGTTTGAAGTTAGTTGTTGTTTGCTTTTTTGTTTCCTAACTTTTTTAACAAATTTTTTTTCTTAAATTTTGAAAATTGTTTTGAATTGAAAATTGTTGCAAAGAATTTCATCAAAAAATTTGAGAATAATAGAATTCATTCAAAGAATTTTTTTTATTTAGGAAAATAATTGATTATTATTTAATAATAATGAAAATGTGAAGAATTATGTTAAAATTTTTGATAATTCTAATTAAATTCTTTTTGAAGAATTTCTTTCAATTTTTTTTAAATAATGGAGTTTCTTTAAAAATTTCAAAAATAATTGAATTTTATGATCAATTTCTTTCAAATTTTCAAAATAATCGTGTTTGATAAAAATTGAAATTTAACACGTAATATTATTGAATCTTATTACAATGTTAGAAAATAATTAAATTCTTTTGAAATTTTTTATAGCGAATTACGAAAAAAATTAAATTCTTTCGTAAAATTTTATTGAAACTAATTAATTTTTTGCCTACCTATTTAAAAAAATAATTAAATTGTTTTAAAGGATTTTAAAAATTTTAGAAAATAATTGTTTTTTTGAAAAGAATTTCACCATTTAAAAAAATAATTGAATTGTTTCGAAAGAATTTTATTAAAGATTTTGAAAATAATTGGATTCTTTTGAGAAATTTTATTAAAATTGTATTAAAAATAATTGAATTCTTTCGAAGAATTTTATAAGAATTTCTGAAAATAATTGAATTTAATTAATATTTAAAAAAAATTGTATTCTTTCGATAAATTTTACTAAAATTGATTTTAAAAATAACTGAATTCTTCCGAAAAATTTTATTATTAATGAAAATAATTGAATTCCTTTGCAGAATTTTATTATTTATGAAAATAATTTAATTCCTTCGAAGAATTTTATTATTTATAAAAATATAATATTGAATTCTTGTGAAGAATTTTATTAAAATTTTTAAAATTACTAATTAAATTCTTTTGAAAAATTTCTTTTAATTTTTTAAAAATAATCTCATTTTTTGAATAATTTTAATTGAAAATTTTGAAAGTACCTAATTGAATTTTATGAAGAATTCTTTTTAAGATTTTAAAATAATCGCGTTTCTTAATAATTGAAATTAAACACTTTATTGAATTTTCTCAATATGTTTGGAAATAATTGAATTCTTCTCACAATTTTATTGGAATTTTCTAAAATAATTTATATCATTCAGAAATTTTTATTAAAATTGTGATGAAAATAATTAAATAATTTTGAAGAATAGAAACTATTAAAGATTTTAACAATAATTGAATTCTTTCAAAAAATTTCTTTAATTTATTGAATATAATCGATTTTGTTAATAATTAATTTTACTATTAAAATTTTATTAAAATTATTAATAGAAAATTAAACTCTTTTAAAGAATTTTATTCGAGTTTTTGTAAGTAATTAAATTCTTTTGAAGAATTTCTTTTTGTTTTTCCAAAATAATGTAGTTTTTGACTAATTTTAATTAGAAATTTTGAAAGTACATAATCCAATTAAAGATGGATTTTTTTTTTAATTTTTAAAATAATCGTGTCTATTAAAAATTATAATTAAATATTTCATGATTGAAGTTTATTAAAATTGTATGTAAAATTAAATTATTATTTAATTCCTGTGAATAATTTTATTATTTACAGAAATAATTTAATTTTTGCGAAGAATTTTACTATTTTTAAAAATAATTTAATTGTTTCCAAGAATTTATTAGAAGTTTAGAAAATAATTGAATTCTTTCGAAAAGTTTTATTAAAAATTGGAAAAAATTTAATTGAATCCTTTCGTGAAATTTTATTAAAATTGTATTGAAAATAATTGAATTCCTATAAAGAATTTTAATATTTATAATAATTACTGAATTCTTCCAAAGATTGTATCAAAATTTTGAATATACGTAGTTGAATTCTTTAAAGAAATATTGTATTTAAAATTCTGAAAAATAAGTTTTTAAATTCTATAAAAAGAAATTTAATTTTTTAAGAATTTTCTTAAAAAATTGACATAATTTAATTTTTATGAACAAATTGCATCATCTTCTAATTTTTATAGAATATAATATAATATTTTACAAGAAGTTTCTTACAAATTTTGAAAATAATTGAACGTTTGCAAAGATTGTACTATTTAAAAAATAATTGATTTTTTTTAAAAGTTTTATTCAAATTTTAGAAAATAATTAAATTCTTTCATGAAGTTTTATTAAAATTGTTTTGAAAACAATTGAATTCCTGCGCTGCGAAGAATTTTACTATTTATAAAAATAATTGAATTCTTCTGAAAAATGTTATTATTTATATAAAAATAATTGAATTCTTGCGAAGAATTATATAAAATTTTTGAAAATATTAACAATAATAATTAATAATGTACTTAATAAGAGAATTTTTTAAATATTGATTATAAAATTATTCAAAAACTTAAATTTGAAAATAAAAAATTTTGTGATTTACAAATAATAATAAATTGAATATCACTTAACATTTGCTAGTTTCTAATAATAAAAGAGACAAAAATGTATTACAGATCAGACCATCGCCGACTCGAGGAAGTTCCGATAATTTAGCGCTCGATTATGATCTCTTTAGTCCAGGAAGAAAGTCCCAACACTCGTCGGACAGTGAAAAAGTGTTGGTGGTAAGCGCGAGGGATCCACAGGGTCGATTAGTTTACGTCGGTGGCACTGAGAGACACAAAAAATCAACGAAAGCTTGTCAGGGAAAAGCCAATTTACACCACGAGGCACTGTCAATAAAGAAAAGTGCAGAAATTGCTGCAATTTTCGGTGGAAATGGCGGACGTCTGGGAAGAAAGACAAGTAATGCATCTAGCGTGAGAAGTTCAGTTAGTTTGGAAGCTGGATTAGGTTACTTACCTTAAGACACAAAAAAAAAAAATTAAAATACTATAATCGAATACGGGTATTGATGCTCAATTTAATTTTAACGATTAAAATCAAAAAAAGCAAATTGGATTCATTTGTTCTTTACAAGAACAAGTTCTCCTCTTCACATAGTCTTCTTTTTGGAGAATATTGAAAGTTATTTTTCCAATTCTGAAAATTTAGAATATTAGTTAATTTTTAAATTAATCTGCTACAATGAACCTGATAATAGTGTGAACGTAAAATACTCCTAGGGACAGTGCAATAATGTTATCACAGTGTGAAGAAATATTTTACACGAGAATAACTGCAAAAAAAGTTGAATGATTATTGAAAAAAAAGGATATTTACATTAGATATTAAAATTCAATGTGCACATTCTTATGTTGTACTATTTATAAAATCTTGATCCATTTTGTGGAATTTTTCTTTATATTCTTCTGGTACCTCAATCTCTTTCAAGTTGTCTACTCCTATTTCCTCTTCCGTTCTAAAAAGATATTTCGTATTTAATCACAGAAATAAATTTTTAGCTAAATTTTTAATTTGTTTTTTTATCTTAAATATTTTATTTCATCAGATTTCATTTAGTAATTAGTAGAGAAATAAAAATAGAGAATAAAAAATTAGTAAAAATTTATAATTTACTAGAGTAATTTTAAACAATTTCAAAATGAAAATTCAAAAATTCTAAAGTAAATATTTAATCGAACCTGATTAAAATATCAACGAGATTTTCACAGGCAAGTAGAATTGTTTTTTCCTTCTCCCATTTGTGATATTCTCGAAGAATTACGTAAACATTCTTTTCTCTAAAATGTTCGCGCACTTTTTTTGTTGCACACAATTGGATTAAAGATTCAAGCAACATTAATCTGGAAGAGAGAAAAATTATTTTAATTAAATAACTAAATATTTTTTTAACTAAAGTAATTTTTTTAACTTAAGTGTAATTTCGAATCTGAAATAATTTAATTCTTACACAAAATGTAATTTTAAATTAAAACAATTTTTATTTTTAAATATGAATTTTTGAATAATTTCAGATTCAAACTTTTAAAAAATTCAAATATTAACTACTTTACTATTTAATTATTCTTGTTTATTAATTTCAAAAATTTTGATAAAATTCTTCGCAAGAATTCAAATATTTTCACAAATAATAACATTCTTCGCAAGACTTAAATTATTTTTTATAAATAGTAAAATTTTTTACAAAATGCAAATATATTTTTGCTTATAGTATTCGAAATTTTCTAAAATTTTAAAAATCCTTTAAAACAATTTAATTATTTTTTTAAATAGGTAGTAAAATCTTTGCAAAAAATTAATTAGTTTCAATAAAATTTTACGAAAGAATTTAATTTTTTTCTTAATTCGCTATAAAAAATTTCAAAAGAATTTAATTATTTTCTAACATTGTATTAAGATTCAATAATATTACGTGTTAAATTTCAATTTTTATCAAACACGATTATTTTGAAAATTTGAAAGAAATTGATCATAAAATTCAATTATTTTTGAAATTTTTAAAGAAACTCCATTATTTAAAAAAAATTGAAAGAAATTCTTCAAAAAGAATTTAATTAGAATTATCAAAAATTTTAACATAATTCTTCACAAGAAATCAATTATTTTCCTGAATAAAAAAAATTCTTTGAAGGAATTTTATTATTCTCAAATTTTTTGATAAAATTCTTTGCAAAAATTTTCAATACATTAAATTTAAAATTGAAAATATTTAAAAAGAAAAAATATTAAAAAAGTTATGAAACAAAAAAGTAAACAACTAACTTCAAACTGCGACAAACTGCGAACAGTTTACCTGAATATACAACGATTATTAATATAAATGATGAAAGGAATGAAAGTAATTAAATTGCTTCAAAGAATATTATTAAAAATTTCTTAAAATAATTTAATTCTTTCAAGCAATTTAATTTCTTGTACTAAAATTAACTGAACCCTGAAAATATTTAGAAAAAAATGAAAAATCACCATACCGAATATCAGGATCAGATTCACGTTGTTTGGTTTCAGGTAAATATTGCAAATCAATTGGCAATTTATTAGTATCCTCATCGTCAAATTCCTCAGGTCCGGCAAGCGGTAAAAGTAGATTCGGCAAAATGTCGATATCTGAACTCACAAACCAATCGTGATTATCCAAATCAAAGCAACAATTTCTCAATGTTCCAATAATGCCACCTCTTCGTAATTCACTTTCAGCGTATTCTGTGAATGGAAGTAGCCTCTTAATCAAACATTTACTTCTGTCCGTTAAATATCTAAAAAAAAAAATTATTGTCATACACAATAAAAGGGGAAACATAATTACAAAAAACAAGTTTTTTTTAAAAACAAACCTTCGTACTACTTGAGAATGACTTAAATTACTAAAAACAGGACCCAAATAATTTAAAGAGGCAGAATTTTTATCTCCCTGCTTACAAAATACGGAAACAATCGTCTCCCAAGTATATTCACTTTTATCAATTAAATTTACAATTCTCTCAACAAATGTTGATGGTCTTGTCATATTTGATAAAATCATACAGCAAGGATCTGCCAAATTAATGTTTCCCTCCGTGATGTATCTGAAAAGCAAAAAATTAATTTAAATACGTAAAGTTTAGAAATTGAAAATTTTTATGATCAAAAACATGCAAAATTTATTTATTTGTATTAATTAATTTATTTATGGGAGTCTTTTTTAAAATTTTTAAAAATTAAATTACTCACTTTAAGCATATTTCGAATAAATTAGAATTTAATTTGTCGTCAGGTTTCGAAGATTCGGAAATTAATAAAAGTGCACTTGCTCCATTTTCATCAGCGCTAATATTTATCAATGACAATGTTACTGCTTTTGCTATTATTATTGATTTATCCTGCAAAAGTATAACTATTTTTTTTAAAATATCAGGTAATTTTAAAAGCAATTCTCTTCCTTCCGCTGATCCTGTAACTCCTGAAATAATAAAATTTTACACAAACATTAAATAAATCACAGTAATTGAATATTTTTATTTAAATTTTAATTATTTTACATTTAAACGATTCCTTAATTAACGTAAATTGTAAAAACAGACAGTAAATTCGAAAACTTATTGGTAAATAATCTATTTTTATTTAAAAAAATATAGTTTTAGAAAAGAAATAATTGTTTTAAAACATAAAAACATAAAAAATATAAAAATAATAATAATTTATGAAAATCTACTTCTTTTCAATAATATTTTTACAAAAATGCAGTAACTCTAAAAAAGTAGTTTAAAAATATATTTATTTACAAAATAATGAAGGTTATGTTTTTCACTTACCAAGCACATGTTGAATAGTCACATCTTTCACGTCCGTTCGAGTTTCTGGATTTAGAAATTGTGATATCTCCTCTAGAGATTTTAATTGTTCCTCGTCCATTTTGACATTAACAATTCAATCAAAAATCAAAAACAAATTATACTTTGCAAAATATTTAAAAATTAGAAGAAAAACAAACTGACACTACAATTGTTGATAAATGTCAAGAAAAAATTCTACATTACCTTCTAGGAAGTTATCAAGTACTTTCAGGTTCTTCATTTCTCCACGAGGCGAATATGTCAATAGAACACGAGGTTAACCTCAAAGTTGATTCATTCTCGTTTAATTTTACAGAGAAAATTTTATAATTTAAAGTTAGAAATTTAAAGATTTTAATTACAAAAAGTACGATAAGAATCCTTACGAATTTATCAAAATGACAGAAGCAGGCAAAGAAGAAAGTTCAGAGAATAAAATTGTTATTCCTCGAGGAAAACCAAAGTCAGGACGAGTTTGGAAAGAACCAAGAAAAAGGTAAGTGAATAGAAATTAATAAAGAAAAAAAAATTGTTTAAAAAAATCACGTAGAAAAAAAGGAAAAATTTAGAAATTTAATTTTTAGATTTTGCCATTTTCCATGATTTTCAAGAAAATTCCCATTTGTTTGGATAATTTTGTGATTTTCCAGTTACTTCTATTTCCTCAATGTTTATTTTTCATTTTATAAAGGTTTTCGTCTATTGTCAAAACAAAAGGCATTCGTCAGTCATTTGAAAAGAAGCAGAAATTAAGGGAAGATTTGAAACACATTAAAGAATTGTCAAGGGAAAAAGTGGCGAAAATGAAAGAAGCAAAAGAATTAAAAAAAGAGAGGAGGAGAGATAATTTGAAACGAGCTGAAGAAAATCGAAAGAAAAGTGAAATCGTCCAAGTTGTAAGTCTAAAAAAAAATTTTTTAATAATTTAAAATTAAATGCAATTTTTATTTTAGCAGTGAACAATATTTTGCTAAAATCAACAAACAAAAGCAATAATATTTTTCTTTTCCTTTCAGATAACAAACACAGCGAAAATAAAGAGAATGAAGAAGAAGCAGTTGAGAATGATCGAAAAAAGAGACACCCTCAAAATGAAATAAAATATTAATGTAACATTTTCTTGTAAATAGAGTAAGTATTGTTCAAAAAGCGAAAATTTGTAATAAAACGACAAAAGTCAACAAAAGCAATTTCGTTTTTTATATATAAAAAGAAATAGATTTGCTCTAATAAAATAATTAAACTTGAATTAAAAAAACAAGAAAGATAATTAAAAAAAGAAGAAAATTTCGAATACTATATAAGCAAAAATATATTTGCATAATCGCACTTTAATACTGTAAATATTTTATCTACATTCTATAGAAGTATAAAAATAGACATGTAAGAATCTATTATTAATACATAGTTTTTTAAATTTAAGTCTCTTTTTGATTAGAGAAAAAAAAATTTCTATATGTAAAATCATTTAATTCATAATTGTTTAACGATCACTGTCAGGATGAGAGTTAAAAAAAAGAAAAATTAAAAAAAATGTTAAAAACAAAGAAACTAAACATAGACGAACTAAACGAAACAAAGACGATTCACTTTACAACCTAACGAATGTAATCGAAAACTTAACGAGAGTGTCCTTCACTTATTTACAAAAGAAGACGTTCTTCTTCCTGTATTTTTTGAACTTTGACAAATTCCTTTAATTCCGCCGGAAGATTTACTCGCGATGGATTTCGCCACTTGAAAGAATTTTTCAAAATTAGATTTTAAAGTAATTAACGCAGGCTTCGCACTCATCTACTAAAACCTACTATTTACTACTATTTTTACAATTTACTACTAATTGGATACTTTTTTTGGATTTATGACACTAAAAGCTTTTTTCTTTATTTTTGGTGAAAATTTGCATCACTTTAAATTCGTTAATAGTTGAAATAAACAAAAATTCTAAGAATTGTAAAAATTCTTTAAAACGATTCAATTATTTTCAAAAACTTTTCGAAGTTCAATTATTTTCAATAAATAGTATTTTCATAAAATTTCGCAAAACAATTCAATTATTACAAAAAACTTGATAAAATTCATCCAAAATTCAATTATTTTCATAAATAATAAAATCTCCACAGAAATTCAATTAATATAGAATTCACAATAATTCAATTACTTTCACTTATAATAACATTGTTCATGGAAATACAATTATTCAAAAACATTTTTGATAAAATTCTAAGCAAGAATTCAATTATATTCATAAATAATAATATTTTTCATGAAAATTCAATTACATTTATAAAAATTTGTATAAAATTCTTCACAAGAATTTTATTATTTTCCCAAATAATTCAATTATTTAAAAAGAATTAAATATAATTCTTCGCCAGAATTCAATTATTTTCATAAATAATCAAATTCTTCTCAGAAATTCAATTATTTTTTAAAAAATTTATAAATTCTTGAATTCTTTTTCTAATTCTTTACAATTATATTATTCAATTATTTTTAAAATAATTGATAAATTCTTGAATTCTTTTTTTAATTCTCTACAAATATATTATTTAATTATTTTCCTAAATAATAAGATTTTTTACAAAAATTGAATTATTTAAAAAAAAATCAGGAAAATTCTTCGCAAAAATTCAATTATTTTCATAAATAATAAAATTCTTCTCAGAAATTCAATTATTTTTTAAATAATTGATAAATTCTTGAATTCTTTACAATTATATTATTCAATTATTTTCCTAAATAATAATATTTTTCACAAAAATTGAATTATTTAAAAAAAAATTCAATAAAATTCTTTGCAAGAATTTAATTATTTTCATAAATAATATAATTCTTCTCAGAAATTCAATTATTTTTAAAATAATTGATAAATTCTTGAATTCTTTTTTTAATTCTATACAAATATATTATTTAATTATTTTCCTAAATAATAAGATTTTTTACAAAAATTGAATTATTTAAAAAAATAATCAGGAAAATTCTTCGCAAAAATTCAATTATTTTCATAAATAATAAAATTCATCTCAGAAATTTAATTATTTTTTAAATAATTGATAAATTCTTGAATTCTTTACAAGTATATTATTTAATTATTTTCCTAAATAATAATATTTTTCACAAAAATTGAATTATTTAAAAAAAAATTTAATAAAATTCTTTGCAAAAATTGAATTATTTTCATAAAATTCTTCTCAGAAAATGAATTATTTTTTAAAAAATTGATAAATTCTTGAATTTTTTTCCTAATTCTTTACAATAATATTATTCAATTTTTTTCCTAAATAATAATATTTTTCACAAAAATTGAATTATTTTTTAAAAAATTGATAAATTCTTTATAAGAATTAAATTTTGAGAAACATTCAATTATTCACTATAATATTATTTATTTTTGTATTTAAATAGTTGAATTTCAGTTGAACTGTCTAATAAAAATTGATTTAAAAATGAATTTCAGTTGAAATTTTAGATAATTGAATATTAAAAGCGTTATAGTACGATTTTTTTAGAAATAACTAAATTTTAAAAGATTATTAAATTGAAATCGTTGAAAATTTTAATTGTTGTAAAACTGTAATAACATTTTATTTTGAAAAATTATTTATTTATTTTCTTAATTCCTGTGAACAATTTAAATTAAATTTTATGAAATAATTTAATTTGTTTACTTAATAATTACTTTTAAGTACAATTGTATTTTTTAGGGTAAAACTTTGCAAAATAACTAAATTTTTCAATAATTTTAAATTAAGGTTCTCAGCAGGATTAGAATAAAAATAATGGTTTTTGATTGAAATCAGGAAACAGTCAGGGAAATACTGAATCAATTTTTTGTGAATCGACTAAAACAATTTTTTTTTATTTGTTAAAATTAATTTTCTCTAGCTACTTTTTTTACTACTTTTTTCCGTATTAAAGAGACTTTTTGATCCTTTTTTAAAATTAATTATTGAGTGTGAAGCCTGTTAACTAAATGAAAAGAATAAAAAATAGAAAGTGTTTTTGTTTACCATGCTCTTCACCCATTTTGGAAGATTACTAACTGTAGCGTTGCTTACAAATCTGTAATATGCAAATAATTTTCCGGATAAATTGAAGAAAAATTGAAATAAGTAAAAATAACTCACCTTTCATCGACGACTAGAACTGCTCCCCAATCATTTTTGTGTCTTATACATCTTCCAAGTGCTTGATTCAGGGCTCGAAAAGCTTGAATTGAATACCAATCACTTCCATTGAGGAGTCCCTTCGCTTTATTTAGATTGTTGTACATCATTTTCATGTCTATCGCCGGATCGTTTCTCACAGCAAACGGAATGCCAACCTGAAAAGTTTAATTATCTCGATAATATTTTGACGACTTTTTAAAGTTTCCTTTATCAGAAACTCGAAACTTTCACAATTCAGAGTTTCGAAAATAATACATTTGGGAAAGAATGTACAAAATAAAAAAACCGAATTTCAAATGAATTGTGACAATTTTATAGGAAGAATAAAATCCACAGAAAAAAAAGAATTGTTAAAATAGAACAAATTTCTTGTTGTAGTAGTTGATAAAAATTTTCTCGATCAAATCTGAATTTTTGGGACAAAGAAATAAATTTGTTAGTTCTATATTAACAATCCTTGTTCTCTGCATTTTTTCCTACTAATTTAGGATTTTTTTTAATATTTAAAAAAAAATGTTTAAAAACAAAAAAATAAGTTTTGAAAATTTTTTTTTTTTTTACTCACAGTTAAAACACATCTTGCTTCATTATCACTGAAATCAATTCCCTCGGCGACTTTTCCACGAAAAACGGCGAATAAAAGAGCACCTGTAACACCAAATCTATTCGAATTTGAAGTGTCTTTTATGACAGATCTAAATTCCGTCATTACTTCATCTAACTCGTTGCCAAATCGTGGCTCGACGAGAATGTGTTTATTGTTTTCTAATTGTTGCCACACTGCAGTCTCCTTCCACCTTTCAATTTGCAAGTTCATCATTTTATAAGACGAAAAGAAGCACAATATTCCATGAGGAATAGATTCAGACACTTGAACTAACAATCTTCCCAATTCGTCCTGAAAAAAATTGATTAATTAAGAAAAAAATTAATTAATTAATTTTTGTTATTAAAATATTTGAAAAAATCACACAAATTTACAGACTTCTCTTTTTTTAGACAACAAGTATAAATTATTGAATAAAATGAAGCAAAATACTAATTTTTGTTAGTCTACAGAAAAAAATTCAAAATCTATATTAATAATCATTGTATTTCGGATGCTTGATAGCATTTTGAAGTTGAACAAAAATTAAATTTATTATTCTTTTGTGAATTACAAAATTTGTTATTTTTAAATATAAGCTTCAATTTTTGAATAATTTCAGATTCAAAATTCAAGAACTTCAGTTATCAAGTACCTACATAATTAATTATTATTGTTTATTATTTTCACAAATTTTAATTAAATTCTTCGATAGAATACAATTTATTATTTTAAAAAACAATAACATTTTTTTTCAAAAGAATTCAATTATTTTTATAAAAAGTAAAATTCTTTACATAAGTACAATTATTTTTTCAATTGTTAATCAAACTTTCCGCCAGAATTAAATTATTTTATACAATTTTATTAAATTTTTCGTAATGATTCAATTATTTTTATAAATTATAAAATTCTTCGCCAAAATTCAATTATTTTTATAAATAATAATATTCTTTGGAAGAATTCAATTATTTTTATAATAAATAGTAAAATTCTTTAAAGAAATTCAATTATTTTTTCAATTTTTAATACAATTTTTCTCCAAAATTCAATTATTTTCTACAATTTTAATAAATTTTTCGAAACAATTCAATTATTTTTATAAATTATAATATTCTTTTTAGAATTCAATTATTTTTTAAATAGTAAAATTCTTTGCAAAAATTTAATTAGTTTTTTAAATTTTAATACAATTTTTCGACAGATCAATTATTTTCTAAAATTTTAATAAATTCTTCAAAACAATTAAATTATTATATAAATTGAAAAATTCTTAGCAACAATTTAATTATTTTTATAAATAATAAAATTCTTTGCAGGAATTCAATTATTTTTCAAATAGTAAAATTTTTATCAAGAATTTAATTATTTTACAATTTTAATAAAATTCCTAATTATAATTATTAATAGACACGATTATTTAAAAGGCTAAAAAATTCTTTGTTTAATTCATTTATTTTAAAAATTCTCAATTAAATTTTTAAAAAAATACATTATTTATAATCAACTTAAAGAAATTCTTCAAACGAATTTAATTATTTACAAAAACTCTAATAATATTGTTTAAAAGATTTTAATTTTCTATCAATAATTATAATAAAAGTTAATAGCAAAATTATTACTACAATTGTTAACAAAATCGACTATATTAAAAAAAAATTAGTGAAACTTTTTGAAAGAGTTCAATATTATATACATCGGTTATTAATATAGATTAATAAATATTATCAATTTCAATTAGTAAATGACTCTTAATTTTTTGAATTATATTTTAATATTAAATATTTTTTAAAAAGTAATAAATGGAATAGCGCGTTTCGTGCGCTGATGAGCGTATCATTTGTTAGTAATTTTACTAGTAAGTTTTACTAATTCAGATTTAGAGAATATAGTACATATTTTTTTTTAATTTAAAGTAATTTTCAATTTAAAATTATTCAGAAATTGAAGTTGATTTTTAAAAATAAAAAAAATATTCTGTAATTTTCGTAACATTTGCTATAGTTCAAGAAAAGAAAGTATTAGAGAAATTACCTTGAAATTAAATAAGTTGGTATTTTGATAATTCGCCTTGAGACCAATTCCAGTTGGTCCATATGCAATCCCACGTACGTAAACTTGCTCCCTTGGAATAACATGATTTGCTTGCAGCATATTCGGAAAAGTTGTTCCAAGTTCACTTTGGAATGAATTAATAGGGGCAAGAGTGCCCGACGCCAAAATAATAGATCTCGCCAAATCGGATAGCGGTTTGAAAATTACCCCCGGATACATACACAGCAATTTTAACATTCTTATGCGTCTCTTTGTTGGTCGACTACCTCGAACCCAAACATCGTCCTCAACCTGCTGATAAAATTAGTCAACAATATTATTATCAATTGCAACAGAAATTTGCTTATCATATTAATGAAATTTAAAAAAAGGTAATTGGAATTATTCAACAATATATTATCACTTGTAACAGAAATTTGTTAATCATATTAATAAAATTTAAAAAAAGGTAATTGAAAATATTCACAGGGTGTCTACTGAAAATATGTCTTAAAATTCCAGGACATTTTCAGGACATTCTAGGACAGATTTATTATTTTTCCAGGACATTTATATGTGTAACAGGATTGCCACAAGTCAGGGAAGTCAAGAAATTCAGGAAAAAGTCAAGGATTTTTACTAAAAGTACTGGAAAAAATTAAATTTTTAGAATTTATAGGAAAATTCTGAATTTTGGTGTTTTTTTTTTGTTTGCCTTATAAACTATGAAATTGCCAAGAATTCTAATACAAACCCTTCAATTTCAATTATCTTTATAAATAATAAAATTCTTCTCTAAAATTCAATTATTTTCCAAAAATTTAATAAAATTCTTGGAAAAATTTCAATTATTTTCAAAAATTTTTCCCATTTCAATTATTTTTTATATCTATTATTTTAATAAAATTTTCCAAAAGAATTCTAATATTTAAACAAAATTTAAATAAAAATTTAACAGGAATTCAATTACTTACCAGCTTCTTTTATAAATTTCTTCGCATCAATTCAATTATTTTAAATTTTTCAATGCAGTTTCTCGAAAGAATTCAAATATATAAAGAAAATTGAAAAAAATAGTCTGAGAAATTCAATTATTTCAAAACATTTAAATAAAATTCTTTCAATAATTCTATTTACAGGATATAGTTAATTAAATTGCAATTTTAATAAAATTTTCCTATACAATTCAATTGTTTTCAATACATTTTTTCTTAAGAATTCAATTATTTTCACAAATAATACATTTTTTATGGGAATTCAATTATTTAAACTTAAAGGAATTTGAATAAAATTCTTCGCTAGAAATCAATTATTTTCTTTCTTGAGAATTTAATTATTTTTAAAAAATTTGGTAAAATGCTTTATAAATTTGAAAAATTATAATAAAATCGGTCATAGAATACAATTATTTCCGTGAAATACAACATTTTTCTACAAATACAATTATTGTCAAAAATGTTTGTAAAACTCTTCGAAACAATTCAATTATTTTCGTAAAAAATAAAATTCTTCTCAGCAATTCAATTATTTAAGAAATTTTAATAAAATTCTTCCCAAGGATTCAATTCAAAAATAAGCATTTTCACAGGAATTCAATTATTTAAAAAAAATTTGTTTTAATTCTTTGTCACATTTAAATTATTTTCAATTTTTTAATAAAATTTAATTATTTTTAAAAAGTTTTTAAAAATTCTGAAAAATTCAATTATTTAAAAAAATTTGAATAAAATTCTTCACAAGAAATTAATTACAATTTTCATAAATAATAATATTTTTCTCTGGAATTCAATTATTTTTACAAATAAAATTCTTCACAGGAATTCAATTCTTTAAAAAGATTTTTAATAAAAATCGTTGCAAGAATTCAATTATTTACATAAATAACAAAACTTATCGCAGAATTTCAATTACTTTTATAAAATTTTGATAAAATTCTTCATAAAAATTCAATTTAAAAAAACATGCAATTACTGAATAAATTATTTATTTTTGTATTTAAATAATTGAATTCTCGGGAAATACTTTGTCATCTTAAATTTATTATAAAACATGAGGAGTGATCGATTTCTTCATGTTTTATTATAAATATTCTCATAAGTTATTGAATTTGAGAATCATAATTCCTATAGAAAAATAATAATGATTAAATATTTATTTAAAAAAGAAGTTATTAATGTTCTTCAGGGTCAGGAAAAAAGTGAAAATTTTGTCTGGAAATCAGGGAAAAGTCAGGGAAAAACAAAATTAAAATTTTTTGGCAACCCCGTGTAATAATATTTCATATCACGAATAACATAATTTAAATTAACCTACTTGAACAAAAATATTTATTTTATTATAAAAAGAGTTCAAAATCAATATTGTAGATACCAGTTTCTTTAATCAAATGACAAATTAAAATTATTTTTTGATGGATCAAAAAAATTATTTTTTTTAAATTTGAGTAAAATTTTTAAATTATTAAATATTGAAAAGCAAAAAATGGAAAATTCAGGGACAAAAGTTTAAAATCCAGGACATTTAAGGACATTTCAGGACATTTTTTCAAATTCCAGGACTTCAAGGACCAGTAGACACCCTGATTCATTAAACAAAAAGGTAATTGAAAATATTAATTAAAGAAAAAGTTTATTTAAAATATTAATTTAAGAAAAAGGTAATTTAAAAAAAGGTATTTAAAAATATTAAATCGAAATTTAGTGATAAAATTGCAACTTACCGATTTATAATCGCGGACTTCACTTTCCGTAATGCAAGCTCGAAAATCTTGAGAGAATTTAATAGAAGAAATTTTTTCGATCACAAAAAGAAGATCCTCCAATAGTCTTTTTGTATTCATTGATATTATTATCGGCGGTGCTTTCTTCGCCTGATCACGAATATTTTCTTTCGCGTTATTATATTCTATAATAACCTTCTTACAAGCCATGATAAATTGACTCATCATTGGTTTTCCCAATTTATTAATTTCCAATAATTGCATCAGCTCGTCACCCTTCCAGTAAGCACTGCACGATTCTTCACCGCCATTCTAAAATACGAAAAAAAAATTTATTCACTTCAATTCAATGTTATTAAATAATTAAAATGTACATTAAATACATTAAAAAAAGAATAAATGTTCTAAAATGACTTGAAAAGAATTCAGTTTGCAATTTATTCCACGTAATTGTAAGGTTTGTGATAATTGATTGAAAATTACTTACAATTGGGGAAACAAGTTGAATCTTGAGAAAGTTTATCAATTGTTTGCAGTATTCGTAAATAGTATTGTAGGTTGATTTTAATATATCGTCACGCACTACTAATTCAAGATTAATACATTCTTTAATGCATTCTTCTACTTCATCTTCTCGAATAGTTTTGCTGGCAACGTCTCGGCAAATATCTTCGATATTGTGCGCTTCGTCCAGTATAATTATTTGGTCCTTTAAATCTAGTTGCATCTGTAATTAAATTAGTAAATTAGGCAAAATTTTTCTTTTCAAAAATGTTTCTTTCAAACCCGTGTGAGATTGAAATAAACAAATAAAATTAAAATAATTGTAACGAAATTAAACCCCATTAAACTAAACGAAATTAAACAAATTTATAAAAGGGTTTTTTTCAAACCCGTGTAAGATTGAAATAAACAAAAATAAATAAAATAAATGTAACGAAATTGAATTTATTAAAAAATAAAAAACAAAACTAAACAAATTTTTGTAAAAAACAGTTTTTCTGTAGAATAATCTATATTAATAATCGTTGTGTTTCGGTAATCTGTTCGCAGTTTAAAGTTAGTTGCTGTTTGCTTTTTTGTTTTCTAACTTTTTAAATAATTTTTTTTAAAAAATGTTTTAAATTTTAAAATTGATGTACTAAAAATCATTGAATTTTTAGAAAGTATTTATAAAAAAATTTGAAAATAATTGAATTCACTTCGAGAATATTATCAACATTTTTTTCAATAATTCAATTCTTTCGAGAAAATATAATTAAAATGTAATATTAAAATTCTTTAAAATAATTGAATTGTTTTAAAAAATTTATTTCAATATTCTTAAAAATAGTGGAGTTTTTTTTATTAATTTTTACTGAAAATTTTGAAAGTAATTAAATTTTATGAATAATTCAATTATTTTCAATAATATTATAATAAAATTCTTTGCAAAAAGTCAATTTATAAATAAAAGTTAGTATTTTTTAAAGTAATATTAATTGAAAGTTACAAAGAATTCTATTAAAAACTTTTTAGAACAATTGAATTGAATTGATGTACTAAAAAAAATTATTGTAAATAATAAAATATGAAAATAATTGAATTCAATAATTCAATTATTTCAATAAAATTCTATTCAAGAATTCAATTATTTTCAGAAATAATTAAATTTTCGATGTACTAAAAATCATTGAATTCTATTAGAGTATTAAAAAAAATTGAATATATAATTGAATTCATTTCAAGAATTTTATCAACATTTCTTCAAATAATTGAATTCTTTTAAACAACTTTATTAGAGTTTTTGTAAATAATTGCATTTTTTTGACTGATTTCATTAAATTTTGTAAAAATAATGTAATTTTTTAAAATAATTTTAATTAAAAATTTTAAAAATAATTGAAGTTTACAAAGAATTTTATTCAAAACTATTGAGAACAATTGAATTGTTTAGAAAAATGTTATTAAAATTTTTAAAAATATTTAAACCTGTCAGAGAAATTTTATTGAAATTGTATTAAAAATAATTGAATTTTTTAGAAATTATTTACAAAAATAATTGAATTCTTAGCAAGAATTTTACAATTTAGAAAAATAATTGAATTGTTTCGAAGAATTTTATCAGAATTTTTGAAAGTAATTGAATTTTTTGAAGGAATTTTATTAAAAGTTTTGAAAATAATGATTTTTTTAAAAAGAATTTCATAAAAAATTGTTGAAAATAATTGAATTTATATTAAAATTCTTAAAAATAATCGATTTTAGTTAATATTTTTAAAAATAATTGTATTCTTTCGAGAAATTTTATTAAAATTGTATTGAAAATAATTTAATTGCTCTAAAGAATTTTATTATTTACGAGAATAATTAAATTCTTGCGACAAATTTTATTAACATTTTTTAATAATAATAATCAAGAATATTTAATATTATGTACTTAATAAGTGAATTCTTTAAATTTTGAATCTGTAATCGTTCAAAAATTGATGTTCATTCTTGAAAATATAAAGTTTTTTAATTTACAAAATAATAAGAAACCGCTCTTGAAATTTAGGAACAAATATTTAATTTCACTTACAGTGTCTCGAATTTGAGGATCGATTATATAATTATAGGGACAAAATATGATGTCAGCTTCGGCCATTAATTGTCTTGCTGAAAAATATGGACAGCAACCAATCTCTTTTCCCAATTCAACCAGGTCTTCAACATCCCATGGTCCATCAATACCGTAATGTCTTAATTTTATATTAGAACCCATATCGGTCTTGTTTTTCTCCGTATAATAAGGACAGCCCACTTTCTGTAAAGATAAATAAACTCATGTTAGTCAAATTTTTAAAAGTAGATAAAAATTTAAAAAAAACAAGTAAAAACGAACCTTCAGTGGATCCAAGAGTTCATTACATAATTGTGTTTTCGATTTTTTACCAGTTGTTTGTTGAATGCAGGAGTGTTCTCGGCTGCTCAATATAGTCATTCTAAAAAGGAAAACAAATAGAAAAATAAAAATCAGTATAAATAATAAATAAATAAATAAAAATAAGTTTAAAAATAGAAATAAAAATAAACTTAAAAATAGAAATCAATGTAAAAATAAAATTAAAAATAAAAATGAATATAAATATAAGAACAAATGTAAAAATAAAAATAAATGTAAAAATAAGTATATAAATAAACATAACAATAAAATATAAAAATAATATAATTATACACATAGAAAATTATTGATTAAAAAATTAAAAATTTAATGACATACTAAAAAAAAATAAAAATAAAGTATGTCATTAATTAAAAAATTAAAAAAACAATAGTTATTTCAGCGAATGAGAATATTCGAAATTAATTCGAACATGATTTTACTTTCACCTTTGCTACCAATTTAGTTGTTTAATAAAAATTCCCTCTCGTTGTAAAGTAAAACTACTCTAATTTGTCGTTTTTTGAAAATTAATCGTGGTATTTAATTGAATACTTACGGTTTATCTCTATAGGCTGTTTTTTTAAGTTCCCTTATTACTTGTTCAATTTGTTTATGCGTTCTCGATCCGTAGTAAATCTTCGGAACTTTTGTTCTGGGTCTAAAACAAATAAGTAAAATTTACAAAATTAATCTTTAAAAAGATAAAAGTATTTATAATGTCAATCTTTACAATGATAAAAAAATTCATTTTTATTCAAATATAAATCTTCTACTTGACTATTTACCAGATAAATCAAAATATTCTGGATGTTAATAATTTTAACTTGTTGCGCAAATAAATTTTAATTCTAAGCAATTGTTTCTTTCTTTGAAACAATAAAAAATTTTTTTTTTTTGTTTTAAATAAATATCAAATTTTTTTTTTTTAAATAAATATCAAAATAAAAATAATAATTATTCGATACAAATAATAATTTTACAATTTGATAAGTTGTCGCAGTTAGACAATTGCTTGAATTAAATAAACTTTTTTTTTGCAATGAAAAAAGATTGAATAAAGAATTTTTGAAATTACTTACGCCATTTCGTCGATCGCTTTGCTAAGAGTGAGAAAACCGTCGTCGATTTCTACATCCATTTCATAATCTTTCTTAACATCGTTTGAACCGCCAGCTTCGTCTATTTAAATAAAAAAATATTTATTGATTATAACCAAAGTAAATTGACTATAGTACAATCAAGAAAGTAAATTTCAATATATTTTTACTCACCTTTACTGGCTTGAGCTTTTTTCACCTTTGCTTCAACTGAAACAATTTAAACAATAAATTAAAAAATTAATTTCAATTAACAAACATTTAATTTATGATTAATAAAAATCATAAACTTTTTTTTTCTCATTTATATTAAATAAATTGTATTTGAAACAATAATATTTCAGTATTTGAAGCAAATAACGTTTAATTGACTAAAACAAAAATTCTAAAAATTTACGAAAATAATTTAACTGTTTAGAAGAATTTTATTGAAATTTTTGAAAATAATTAAATTCTATCGAGATCAAAAGATTTTTTGTCAAATTTCAAAGCTAAAAAATTTTACCAAGACCACACTAAATTTCAAAATTTAGTGATAAGGAAATTTATTTAGTGATAAAGAATAAGAAAAAAATAGTATGACTTATCGGAAACGCCCCTTTTTTCCAAAAAACGGGTTAAAACTGCAAAGAAAGCTATTTTTGACAAACTTTAAAGCCAAAAAATTTATATTTATTTCTCAAAAATTTCAATAAATTTCTTAAAAACGATTCAATTAATTTTAAAAATATTTTTCGAAATTCGCAATTATTTTCAAAATTGACTATTTTAATGAAATTTCCCCAAAAGAATTCAATTATTTAAAAGAATTTTACTAAAATCCTTCGCAAAAAATTCAATTCTTTTCATAAATAATTGAATTTTCACAAGAATTCAATTACTTAAGTAACATTTTTCATTAAATTTCTACGAAAGAAATCAATTATTTACAATGCAATTTTAATAGAAATTCTATATAAGAATTGAATTTTGTATTCATGAATTTATTTAGCTATAAGAAATAGGAAAAAAATAGCAACAAATATTAGGTATTTATTAACTTTAAAATTATAAAAAAAATAAAAACAATATTACCGTTTTTTTAAACTTTTTTAAATGTTTACACATTTACCTCGCAAAAAAGTAAAGAAAACGGGATTTTTTTTTCTCTCTTTTAGAATGAAATTTTATTCTTTTTGCAAATTTAATAAATGACAAAGAATGAGCGAATGAATGAAGGGGGTGAAATTCGATAATAATGATATATAGAGAAAAAAGAGAAATAAGAGAAATAAGAGAAAAATAAAGAATGAAAACGTGTATTTTGATGGACTAAAGTGGTGGGTATGTCAAAACATTTTGCCGTAATATAAAAGGAAAGTAAGTACATTGAATGACATCAATAGAATGGTTTTAATCCAAGGAGGAAGCAGGACGAGGCTAATCGCTCGGTTGAAAAGGAGAAGAAGCCGAAGGACAACCTGCTTTAAGCCGTTTGTACGAATTTTAGAGTCAGAAAACCCGAAATGATCTCCTGCAACGACAATTCTCTAATATGTAGTGAACTCAACTTTTTAAAGCCATCTCTAATCCGCTTTTAGCCAAGAGTTACAAGCCATTGTTGGGATGCAATTTGAAAAAAGGAACAGAAAAAATGTGCAAGCATCACTATTTTCCTCAGGACCTTCAAATATATATATATATACTATTACTATATAATATGTGTCCTATGGGATCAGAGATCAAATTTTTCTATTGTATTATTATTTTTATTTTTTTGCTTTTGCTTTTGCGCGGAATAATTTTTTATTTCTCGTTTAGTTTCACTCCTTTTTATTCCATCTCACTGGATTTTTGGTTTATACGAAATCTACAACGGCTTTACAATTCAATCGTTGTTTATAAATTTATAATCAATCTTAATCCAATGTTCGAATAATAGGGCTCGAATCAGTGAAAGTATTTAAAAATACGGACTTTACGGAATAAAAATGAAAAATTTTAAATTTTAAATTCGTAGAGTGTTTACATAACGCTGTGTTGGTCTTTTTGCGTAGTTGTGAATGTTTATGAGCAGAAACTCTTTTTCTTAGTTCTTGTATTGTCTGGCCAATATATATGCCGTTACAATCATTACATGTACATCACTGTCCTTTGTAATGATGAGCACATGTGTTATTTATTTTGTTTATTATTTTTATGTTTATTTATCAATTTGGAATGTTCTGTTGGATTTTTATTTATTATAAAATGAAGGAAGTCTCGATGGATCTTGTTCAAACAAGAATCCAGTAAATCCGAACAAATTTTATTCCATTTTTTGACAGGTCTCGACTTTGAGGTTATGTTGGCCTTTAAAAACTTTTCGAATTTAATTTTTTAAAAGTTTTATAAATTTGTATCATTGAACAATGTGGTAGGTCTATTCCACACACAATGTTGCTATTGATTTCATATTTTCTATTTACTCAACCTTTTTTATATTTTTTTCTGTAGTCCTGATGAGCTGTGTTCACAGTGAAAATGCATTCGATGAAATAAAGTAATAATTGCTGATTTTTAACAACTTTCTCAAATCTTTTGGACCCAAGGCCACAATATAAACAATTTTATTATTATTTACAAGAATTAAAAACTAAAATTCTTCTTTAAATCGATTATTTTTAATAATAATTTTTGAAACAGTTCTTTGACAATTTTCAAATCAATTTGTTTACAATATTCAATTTCACGAATTTCAATTATTCGTAAATTCTTCAATTAAATATATATTAGAAAATCAAAACATAAAATAATATTAAAAAAATTCAATTAAACTTTTTCAAGAAATTAATTTCGAAATTCAATTATTTTTAAAAATTCACGCTATATTGCTTTTAATATTCAATTATTATCTAAAATTTTAACTGGAATTAATTGTTTAATTAACTTTTATTAGAAAATTCTACTAGAATTCAATTACTTAAATACAAAAATAAATAATTTAATGTTATCAACAAATTTTCAAAAAATTAAAATTCTATCAACGAATTTTAATAAAATATTTAATAATAATTACATTTTTCGAGAAATTCCATTAAAATTGTATTAAAAATAATTGAAATTCAGCTATGACTTTTATTATTTGTGAAAATAATTGAATTCCTAAGAAAAATTTTATTATACTTTTGAACAAAATTTAATTTTTGCAATAATTTGAAACTTTTACAAAATTGAAATTTTTTTCGTGTTTTTAACTCAACATCCTCTATAAATCCAGTATTTTTAATAATTTTTTAAAAAGTTCTTTAAGAATTTTCAAATTTATTTGTTTAAAATTAAATTTTACAAAATTTCCATTATTCGTAAATTCTTCAATTAAATATATATATATTAGAAAATAAAAACTTTAAATAATTAAAAAAAAAATCCACAATTAAAGTTTCTCAAAAAAAGTTAATTCCACAGAATAGTTAGTTAAAAATATGAACAATTCAAATTTTCAAAGATTTTAATCTGAAACCTTTTCAAAATTCAATTATTTCTAAAAACTCACGCTATATATTGCTTTTAATATTTAATTATTATCTAAAATATTAACTGAAATTAATTTTTAAATCAATTTTTATTAGAAAATTCCACAAGAATTCAATTCCCATAAAGAATTTTATTAACAAATTTTTAAATAGTTGAATTCTTTCGACAAATTTTAAGAAAATTTTTAAGAATAATTACATATTTCGACAAATTCGATTAAAATTGTATTAAAAATAATTGAAATTCTGCGATGAGTTTTATTATTTGTGGAAATAATTGAATCCCTAAGAAGAATTTTATTATTTTCGAACAATATTTAATTTTTACGAAGAATATTATTACTCTTGAAAATAATTGAATTTATACAAAAATTTGTAACTTTTCAGTTGAAATTAGTTTCAATTTTAAAAATTTTAACGCAATTCTTTGAAAGAATACAACTATATCTTAATAAATATTAAAATTCTTTCCAAAAATTCAATTATTTTCAAAATTTTTTTAAAAAATTCACGTCAATATTTCAATTATTATCTTTATAAATGAATAGGAAAATTCTTCGCCACAATTGAATTATTAAGGGATTTTTATTAAGTTCATTGTGAAATTCAATTATTTTCATAAATAACAATAATCATAACAGGAATTCAATTATTTTCCAAAATAATAAAATTCTTTTCAGAAATTCATTCATTTTTAAAAAAATCTAAAACAAATTCTTGTCCATATTTCAATTATCTTTATAAATAAATATCAAAATTCTTCGACAAAATTCAATAATTTTCAGGATTTTTAATTGAATTCATTGCAAAGTCAAATTATTTTAATAAATAATAGTATACACCACAAGAATTCAATTATTTTTAAAAGTAATAAAATTCAATTATTTTCAGAAATTTTAATTCAATTATTATTTTCTACAATTTTCAAATAAAATTCTTCTATAAATGCATTATGTTTAATAATTTTTGAAAAAATTCTTTGAGAATTTTCAAATTTATTTGTTTACAATTAAATTTTACCGCAATTAAACTTTCTCAATAAAATTAATTCCACATGATTATTAATTAAAAATATGAAAAATTCAGATTTTCGAAGATTTTAATTTGTAATCTTTTCAAAAATTTAAACTAAAATCCATTTTTAAATCAATTTTTATTAGAAAATTCTACTAGAATTCAATTATTTAAATACAAAAAAAAATAATTTATTGAATAATTGCATGTTTCTTAAAATTAAATTCTCATAAAGAATTTTCTCAATAAATTTTTAAATAATTGACTTTTTTTGACGAATTTATTAAAATTTTTAAGTAATTACATTTTTCGAGAAATTCGATTAAAATTGTATTAAAAATAATTGAAATTTTGCCAAGAATTTTATTAAAATTTTTGAAAATAATTGAATTTCGGAGAACAATTTAATATTATTTCCAAAGATAATCGAAATTTTGAAGAAATTTTCTAAAACTTTTGAACATAATTGAATTTTTGCGAAGAATAATTTTATTCCTTTTGAGAATAAAATTGAATTTCTGCATTAATTTGTAATTTCACTAAAATTCTCCAAATTATATCGTATACAATTTACGAACTTTTCGTTCTTTTTTCAATCAAATTACGGACTTTACGGACCTTTTTTTTTTTAAAAAAAAACTGACTTTTACGGACTTCAAGCAAAGTTACGGACCTTTACGGGACTTACGGACCTAGTTCGAG